GTGTAAATTATGAGTGTTTTTTTTATTTGAGCCGGCGGTGACATGCAAAAAATTACACAAAGTCGCCGGCGTTCTGTGGAAATCTGCAGTCCTAATTGTGGATATTGAACCCCAAATCCCAATGCAATATTCTCTACTCGAGACTGGTATTCATATGACCGTATTTTACGAAGAAAAATGAAAACTGACCGCTGACATTGATCCACCGATCTCTTCTCGTGTCATACAAGGGCGGATGCCCATATTTGGAAATCTCGGGTGTTCCGTGCGTAGCGCTAGGGTCATTGACCGCGGTTATCGAACACGCTGTTCCATTGTTCCATGGTTGTTCGAATGTTCCAAACGCGTTCTTTTTGTTCGATTTTTGGCTTAAAATGCAACTTTTTTCACCCATTTTTTGCCAATAAAATCATTTTCTGACATCTATGTTGGCCAAAATGACCAAGGTTCAATGTCTAACGTACCAACCTACCAGCATGCTGAATTTCATTTTCCTCCAAGCTCTAATCACGAAAATATGGACGTTTTTTAGGTGTTTGGAACGGAAGAGGAGGAAGAGGAAGAGGAAACAGAGCAAATATAATATGTTTCCTTCGGTAAACATAATAAATAAGGTACCTATATTCATAACAGCCATATAATTGTACGTTAATGCACGTAGAGTTGTGATGAATTTGCTTACCTGCTGGGCAAGCCGGTAGATCCGGACATGTCTGTGTCTCACTCGCTGCTCCCTCACAGTCCTGTCCGCCGTATGCAGGACTGGGGTTGTCACATGTCCGTGTTCTGGTTCTGGTGCCGTTACCACAGGATGCACTACAGCTGGACCAGTCATCCCATTCCGACCAGCCTCCATTAACTGAAATCAATATATATGAATCTTTACTGTCTTCTTTTATAAAGATATTCATCAAACAGTTAGATCGAGTTTGTATGTATCTGAAGCCGGAAAGGGGTTGAGAGGTTGGACACAGGAGTCTCTGTCCAGCTGCCTGATGGAAGCTGTTTGTACAGCAATAACGTGTCGACTATCGGCCCATCTCCGTCAATCGACACAATGTTCAAGTCGACGATTACAAACAAAAATCCATTCTCTGTAGGTCTGGGTGGCTCTTTTGGAACTGGCTGGACTAAAATAAAGAGCGACACGTATAAGCTAACTCGTCTGTGGATAGACATACTAAGCTTTGAGGGTGTCAAACACCCATTTTTGTGTATGTAAATGAAATCATTTGTCTTGTTAAGTCCCCACCTTTCAGGTATATGTAGGCACGGTGAGAAATGCTCGATCCCGCGATGGTTTGCACTCTACAGTCGTACTGTCCTTCCTCTGAGGATGTCACAGCGGTGATGGTGAAAGTTGCTCGCAGTGTTTC